AGGAAAAGAGGAAAGGAGAGGGATAGAGAAAAGAGGAAGGAGGGAAAAGGGAAGAAGGAAGAGAGGATAGGGCGGAGATTAGGAGGAAAGGAAGGGAAAAGGAGAGGGAAAAGGGAAGAAAAGGACAAGGGAAAGGGTGTATGGAAATACAGGCGGAGGATAGGAGGAAGGAAGGAAGGAAGGAAAGGGAGAGGGATAAGGGGGCGGAGGATAGGAAGGAGGAAGGAAAGGGGAAGAAGGGGGAAGGAGGATAAGGAGAAGATGGGGAAGAGGGATAGGAAGAAAAGAGGAAGGAGGGGAAGGGAGAAGGGATAGGGCGGAGGATAGGAGGAAGGAAGGAAGGAAGGAAAGGGAGAGGGAAGGGAAGAAGGAAAGGGAAGAGGGAAGGGAAGGGGGGAAAGGAGGATAGGAGGAAGGAGAGGGGATGGGGAAAAAAAAGGGGGGGGGGAGGGGGGGGAGGAATAGGAGGAGGTAGGAGGAGGAAGGAAGGAAGGAAAGGAGAGGATAGGGCGGAGGAAATAGGAGGAGGGAAAGAAAGGAAATGGAAGGGAGGAAGGAAGGGGATAGGGAGGGGGAAGGGAGAGGATAGGAAATAAAAAGAGAAGGGAGGGAAAAGGGGTGAGGGACTTTAGGCGGAGGAAGGAGGAAGGAAGGAAAGGCGAGAGGAAGGGAAGAAGGAAAGATAAGGGAGAAAGAAAAGGGGAAGAAGGGAAAGGGAGGGAAAAAAGAGAGGAAGAGGGAGGGAGAAAGGAGGAAGGAGGGAAAGGGAAAGAGAGGGGAAAAAGGAGGAAGGAAGGGAGGAAAAAGAAGAAGGGGAACGGGACGGAGAGGAGGAAGAGGAGGAGGAAGGAAAAGAAGGGAAAAAGGAGGAAGGAGGGAAAGAGAGAGGAAAACAGAAATGAGAGAGAGAAAAAAAGAACAAATAGGACAGGGAAAGGACGGAGAGGAAAACAAGCGAAAAGAAGAGGAATAGCAAGGAGAAAAAAGAAAAAAAACAAGGGAGGATGAAGGGAAGAGAATAGGAGGGACGAAACAGGCAAGAGAGAAGACAGAAGAAACAGAAAAAAACAAATGGAGACGAAGAAGAAGGAAGAAAGAGCTAACGAGAAAAGACGATGATGATAATAAATTAAGAAAAATCCAGATGAAGGAATGGCCTCCCGCCCTCCCTCCTTCCCCTCCTCTCCTCCCCCTTCTCTCCCCCACACCTCCTCCTCGCAATCCCCTCCCTTCCTCCTCCCGCGCCCACCTGCCCCTTCCCCCCTTTAAACCCCCTCCCCCACCACCTCCTCCTCCCCCCCTCCCCCTCCCCCCCCTCTTCCACCACCTCCTCCTCCTCTCCCCCTCCTCCTCCTCCCCCTTCTCGCCCCACCTCCCCCCCAGCTTCACTCAGACATCCCAGCTTTAAACCCTCGCCCGCAGTCCCACTCCTCGCCATCGCTACAAACAGGTTTAATGACACGTCTTCTATGGCCACGCAGAGGAGCAGGGGCTGGAGGTGACTGTCACGTGTCTCGCTGTGGGGGCTGGGGTGAGGTTCATCTCTTTTCTCTCTTTTTAATCTCTCTTTCTTTGGCTGTCTTTCTCACTCTTTCCTTTGGCTTTCTTTCGCACTCTCTGCTTGGTCTTTCTCTCTCTTTACACACACAAAATTAACTGGATGTGGTGAAAAGCCACACAATATACGAGGGAAGAGTTTGAAGGATTTCTCTCGCCTCCTCCTCCTCTCGCTCCTCCCCCCACCTCTCGGCTCCTCCTCCCCGCCACCTCCTCCCTCCCTCCTTCCCCCCACCTCCTCCTGCCTCCTCCCCCCCACTCCTCCTCCTCCTCCTCGCTCAGCTCCTCCCCCCTCCCACCCTCCTCCTCCTCCTCCGCCTCCTCCTCCTCCTCCTGCTCCTCCCCCCCACCTCCTCCTCCTCCTCCCCCCCACCTCTCCTCTCCTCCTCCTCCCCTCCTCCCCCCCACCTCCCTGCCTCGCTCCTCCGCCTCCTCCTCCTCCTCACTGCTGCCTCGCCCCCACCCTCCTCCTCCTCCTCCTCCCCCCCCACCTCCCTCCCTCCTCCTCCTCCCCCCCACCCTCCTCCTCCTCCTCCCACCCTTTCTCCTCCTCCTCCCCCCCACGTGCCTCCTCCTCCACCTCTCCTACTCCACCTGCCAACCTCCTCTGCTCCTCCCCACCTCCTCGCTCCTCCTCCTTCCTTCCTCCTCCTCCCGCCGTCCTGCGCGTATATTCTCGACTCCTCCTCCACCTCTCCTCCTCCTCTCCCCAAAAGACTCTCCTGCCTCCACCTTCGCCTCTCGCATCCGTACCTTCTCCGCCTCCTCTCGGGCCCCCACCCTTCTCCTCCTCCACCCTCCACCGTCCTCCTCGCTCCACCTTCTCTCACCGCCCACTCCTCCTCCTCCTCCTCTTCCTCCTCCTCTTTGGCCCGCCACCTCGGTCGTGCCTCCTCCTCCCTCCTGCTCCTGCCGCGCTCCACCTTCCTCCTCTGACCTCTCGCCCACCGACGCGCTCCTCCTCTCGCTCCCCGCACCTGCCGTCCTCCTCCTCTCGCGCCGTTCCCTCTCTCTCCGCCCCACCTCCTCTCCTCGCCACGCTCTCCTCCTCCAACCTCCCTCCTCGCCCCCACCTCCTCCTCCTCCTCCTCCTCCTCTGCCTGCCTCCCTCCCCCACCGTCTCCTCCTTCTCTCTCCCCCTAATCCCACCGTTTCTCCTCCTCTCCTCCACCTTCTCCTCCTCCTGCCCCCCCACCTCCTCCTCACTCGGCACCTTCTCCTGCCTCTCACTTCTTCCGCTCTTCTTCTCTCCCGACCGGTCCTCTCCTTCTGCTCAGATCCTCCTCCTCTCCACCTTCTCCTCCTCCACCTTCTCCTCCTCCTCCCCCCCTCCTCCTCCTCCACCTCTCGCTCCTTCCACCTTCTCTCCTCCACCTTCTCCTCCCTCTCCCCCCTACCTTCTCCTCCTCCACCTCCACCTGCCTCTCCTACCCCTCCTCATCCCCCAACCTTCTCGCTCCTCCACTCTCAACCTCCTCCTCCTCCTCCTCCTCCCCCCCAACTTCTCCCTCCTCGCCACCTCCACCTCCTCCTCCTCCTCCTCCCTCACCCACCTCTCCTTCCTCCACCCTCCCCTCGCTCTCGCGCTACGCTCCACTTCCACCCGCGGCCCCTCGCGTGCGCTGCCGACCTTCTCTCCGGAACTTAGGTGATTCCATGGATTCGATCCGGTTGGGGGGGGGGGGGGGGAACTTCATGGCTTATTTATTATTTTTTTCCTCTCTCTCTCGTCTCGCTGTTTTTTCTGTCTGTCTAGAGAAGATTGTCTGTCAGTCTCTGGTTCTGTCCTCTGTTGTCTCTGTCTTTCTCTTCTCTCGTCTCTCTCTCTCTCTCTCTTCGGTCTCTCCTCCTCTCATCTCTCTCTCTCTCTCTCTCTCTCCTTCCCCTCCCTCTCCCTCCTCTTCTTCCCTCTCTCTCCTTCTTCCTCTTCTATCTTCTCTCTCTTCCTCCTCTTCTTCTCTCCTCCTCTTTCACCAGGGAGTATTAAGAGTGCCACGTGTGACAGTGCCTTCAGGGCCAAAGTTCATAACAGACTCTATTGTTCATGTTTGTTCAGTCACGGCATTATGGGTAATAGGGTTTGCCTTTTATTCCTGTTTCATGTACTTCTTTTTCTTTTTTTCTTTTTTTCTTTACCGAATTCTCTGTCTCTATCATTTTTTTTTCCTTTCGTTTCGTTGCTTTTTTCTGTCTCTCTTTCATCTCTGTCATTCCTCTTGTGTTTCTTTTTTTTTACTTTTTTACCTCTATTTTTTCATTATATTCTCTCTCTCTCTCTTCTTCTCTCTCTCTCGCTTCTCTCTCTCTCTCTCTCTCTCTTCTCTCTCTCTCTCTTCTCTCTCTCTCTCTCGTCTTTCTTGCGTCTGTCTCTTTCTCTCTCCTTCTCTCTCTCTTCCTCTTTTTTTCCCTTTCTCTCTCTGCTTGTCTGTCTATCTCTCTCTTTCCCTCTCTTTCTCTATATATCTTTCACTCTCTATCTATCTCTCTGTCTGTCTCTATCTATCTCTCTGTCTCTATCTTTATATCTATCCGTCTGTCTGTCTGTCTAATGGTGATAGTAAAAACTATCATACTAATAATGATATTAATGATAATAAAAACAACAATAATAATGATCTATGACAATAACAAAAGGGGTAACAATTATGTATAGACAATAGCTAAGTGTGATGTAGACAAAAATGTTGATAATGAGGCTAAGCGATAAATTACAAAGGAGAAAATACAAGAAAAAAGAGAAGATGGAAATAAGCAATATATGGCATAATGAAGGATGATTAAATTAATGAAGGATTATTAGATGTAGATAATCATATGCAGAGCTCCCACGTGGAACAAAATTATAAACTTCAAAGTTATTAATGAAAAAAATAAGGTAAAGTGAAAAAAAAAATATATATAATATGATAAAATAAGATAAAAAGAAAATTAAAACAATGAAATGAATATATAATAAATATATAATATATAAATATATAATATGATAAAATAAAATAACTAATTAAAAGAATGAAATAATATATAATAATATATAATATATAAAATAAAATAAAAATAATTATGAAATGAATATAAATAAATATATAATATATAAATATATAATATGATAAAATAAAATAAAAAAAAATTAAAAAAATGAATGAAATGAAACAAAATAAAATAAAACAAATAAAAACAGATAAAAAAAAAGTGATTCCAATTATACAGGCAACACGTATAGAATTTCTCCAACTCCTTTTTTTACATAAATTTTACTAAACAACTTCCAGGAAAGAAAAAAAGAAAAAAAATCACATCTCATTCATTAAAACTTCTATCACAACTCTCACGCTAACTCTCCGTGGAAGTTGAGCCATTAGTGTCCAAAATCAGCTGATTCATTCATGTAAACCATTCACGTCGTAAGTTTTCAATTTTGCAAAACTAAATACACGCGGCCTCCATTCATGTGCGTTTTTTTAAAGGTTTTGGTTTAATAATAATAATAATAATTATTTTTTTTGTTATGGTTTAATAATAATAATAATAATATATATATTTCTTTTGTTATGGTTTAATGATAATAATAATAATAATAATAATAATAATAATAAAATAATAATAATAAAAAATATTTCTGCGTTCTTTTTAGTTATGGTTTAATAATAATAATAATAATAATAATGATAATAATAATAATAACCATTTCTGCGTTCTTTTTAGTTATGGTTTAATAATAATAATAATAATAATAATAATAATAATAAAAGATTTCTGCGTTTTTTTTTGTTATGGTTTAATAATAATAATAATAATGTTTTTTTGTTATGGTTTAATAATAATAATAATAATATTTTTTTTTTTATGTTTAATAATAATATATAATGTTTTTTTTTTGTTTAATAATAATAAATAATAATGTTTTTTTTTGTTATGGTTTAATAATAATAATAATAATTTTTATTTTTTAGTTATGGTTTAATAATAATAATAATAATAATTTTTCTTTTAGTTATGGTTTAATAATAATAATAATATAATTTTCTTTTAGTTATGGTTTAATAATAATAATAATAATAATAAGTTTTTTTAAAGTTATGGTTTAATAATAATAATAATAATAATAAGTTTGTTTTTTTTTAGTTATGGTTTAATAATAATAAAACGATTTCTGAAAAGCGTTTTTTTTTTAATGAGATCAAGTTTCCAAAAGTGAAAGTTGTTTATAAAACATTTTTAAAGACGACAAGCAGATTTTTTTTTTTAAATATCCGAAATACTGATTAATAATTAAATGACATTTTCTGAAGGGGGAAGATGTTTCTCAAAAACAACTTTTTCAAAATCCGACAACTTTCTGGGATCATTTTCTAAAAGTGATCATAGTTTTGAAATTAACATTTTGTAAATGTGACAACTGTTTTCACAAGACCGAAAACAGTTTAATAAAAAGGGAAGGAGGGAGCGAGTGAGGATGGGAGAGAGAGAGAGAGAGAGAGAGAGAGAGAGAGAGAGAGAGAGAGAGAGAGAGAGAGAGAGAGAGAGAGAGAGAGAGAGAGAGAGAGAGAGAGAGAGAGAGAGAGAGAGAGAGAGAGAGAGAGAGAGAGAGAGAGAGAGAGAGAGAGAGAGAAGAGAGAGAGAGAGAGAGAGAGAGAGAGAGAGAGAGAGAGAGAGAGAGAGAGAGAGAGAGAGACCATTTTCCAAAAGAGAACCACTGTTCCTTAATACGAAAACTGATTCTCAAAATGATAACCTTCTCAAGATATTTTCTAAATGTGGAACAATGTTCTTAAATACGTCAACATTTTCCTAAAAGCGACAACTGGTTCGACAACAGCGACAAGACCGCTACATCATCTAAGGAATAAATCATAAACAAGAAAATCTCGACAACAAATAGATTTTAAAAAATGAAGAGAGAGAGAGAGAGAGAGAGAGAGAGAGAGAGAGAGAAAAGAGAGAGAGAGAGAGAGAGAGAGAGAGAGAGAGAGAGAGAGAGAGAGAGAGAGAGAGAGAGAGAGAGAGAGAGAGAGAGAGAGAGAGAGAGAGAGAGAGAGAAGGAGGGAGAGAGAAAGAGAGAGAAAAGGATGGGAGAGAGAGAGAGAGAGTGAGAGATAGATAGATAGATAGATAGATAAATAGATAGATAGATAGATAGATTAGATAGATAGAGAGAGAGAGAGAGAGAGAGAGAGATTATGACATTTAATTTGACTCATGTCCTGTCTTCCTTTACATCGAAACATTAGACTAAAAGAATAAAAATACATACTACACTATATCACGTATCAAAAAAAGAAAAAAAAAAAAAAAAAAAAAAATAACCCAACCTCAGCAAAAACAAGCTATCTAACCTAACCTAACCAAATCCAACCAACCCAACCCAAACCAAACCAACCTAAACCTAACCCAAGCTATAGCTAAGCTAAAGCTAAGCTAAGCAGCTAATCCAACCCAACCCAACCTAACTCCCTAGAGCCCTAACCCCTACCCTAACCCAACCTACCTAACCTACCCTAACCTAACCCAACCTAACCTACCCTAACCCAACCTAACCTAACCCTACCCTAGACCTAACTACACCCAACCCAAACTCTAACCTAACCTAACAAACCGTAACCAAACCCAACCAACCTAACCCCAACCCAACCTAATACCTAACCTAACCAAAACCTAACCCAACCCAACGCCAACCAACCTAACCAACCCACCCTATCCAGAATCCCCCTCCTTCCCTCCGCCCCGCCCTCCCCCTTTGTCCCCCATTACCTGTGCGTGCTGAGCGCAGGTCCGGTGAGTGTGGCGTGGTAGGGAGGCTGCAGCGCCAGCGCCGCCGCCGTCGACACCAGCGTCAGGAGGAAGCTTGCAATGACGTCACCACGGACACACCGCCACACCACGCTGCTCGCCACCTGGGGGGACAAGCACTTAGCGGGGGGCTCTCGGTGTTGAGGGAGAGGGAGAGGGAGAGGAGAGGGGAGGGGGAGGGAGAGGGGAGGGGGAGGGGGAGGGGAGAGGGAGGGAGAAGGGAGGGAGAGGGAGGGAGGGGGGAGAGGGAGAGGGAGGGAGAAGGGAGAGGGAGAGGGAGAAAGGGAGAGGGAGAGGGAGAGAGAGAGGGGAGGGGGAGAGGGAGAGGGAGAGGAGGGAGAGGGGAGGGGAGGGAGGGAGAGGGAAGGATGGTGCAGGTGTTAGGGAGGGAGAGGGAGAAGGAGGGAGGGGAGGAAGGGAGGGAGAGAGCGAGGGAGGGAGGGGGAGGAGAGGGAGGGAGAGGGAGAGGAGGGGGGGAGGGAGGGAAGATGGTGCAGGGTGTTAGGGAGGGAGAGGGAGTGGAGGGAGGAGGAGAGGGGAGAGGAAGGGAAGGGAGAAGGGAGAGGAGGGGGAGAGGAAGGGAGGGAGGGAAAGAAGATGAAGAGAGGGAGAGAGGGGAGGAAGGGAGAAGAGAGAGAGAGAGAGAGAGAGAGAGAGAGAGAGAGAGAGAGAGAGAGAGAGATCCTTCCCCTGACTTGGTAGACAAAATCAAATAATATTATTTTTTTTCCATATAGATAGATCGACAGACTAGATAGAAAGATAGATAGATAGGGTAGATAGATAGATAGATATAAACAAACAAGTGGATTAAACTGATAAATAGATATTCATATGAATAGATTGACCATAAAGTAAATATTTAGATATTGAATATTCATTGAAATAAATAAGGATTAATAGCATTGTTTTTTATCTCGTGACCAAATACATAAATGGATTTAAAACTATTGTAAATAAAATAAGCTTCATATTTTACTGTTATGAAAGAGTTTAAACGTTTATCTTTTTTCTTGATTGGCATAAACACTTTTGAATGACACTGACAATTTCGCTCTCTTAACAAGTCAAAAATTCCTCTCCTGTGAGTGGACGGACGCAACCTAAACCAATTTGAATCGACGTCTCCGATTGGCTGGCAGTTTTGGGACGCGCCATATTTGTTAACGGAAAACAAACGTCAGCCAATCAGCGCTCGCCACTCTTCAATCCTCCAGCCAATCAGCGATCGCCACTCTTCAATCCTCCAGCCAATCAGAGACTTGGGTGACGAGTGCCCCTTCAGACGCGAGATGTCTTCAGGGAAATGCACTTCGGACTCGCCAACTCATTCAGAAAAAAAAGAAAAATGTATCTACACATCCCTGCCACCTAAAAAAACGCAAATACAATCTAAATATACGTAAAGATATCTGATCTAAACGCAATATTAGCAAAAAGTGAATAAACGAGGTCAAACGAGGTTACACCCCGACCTACCTCCCGACGCGGGGACGGGTGCTGAGGGATCGAGTCCAGGTACCTCCTGAGGGCGGCCACGGGGGCATCCTGCTGTGCCGCGCCCGGGGTCGTGACCTGAGATGGCGAGGACGTCGAGGGCACGGTGAGGGTCAGGCCGCCTGGAGCCGAGGTATGCGAGGGCCCGCCTAACTCCTCCTTCTCCAGCTCGTGTGCCATGACCTCGGCTGACCCCGCGTTCGCTCCCGCACCTGGAGGAGAGAGAAGTGGTTGCGGTCACTGCGGAGGGGAGGCCGGGACAGGGTCTTCAGTACAGGTTCTCAGAAAAGTAGGAGTGGGTCTCTCTCTCTTTCTCCCCCCCCCACTCTCCTCTATCTCTCTCTTTCTCTTCAACACACTCTCTTCTCTTTCTCTTTCCCCCCTCATCTCTCCTTTTCTCTTTCCAAACACTTCTCTCTCTCTATCTTTCTCTTCCTCTCTCCTCTCTTTCTTCTCTCCTCCTCTGTCCTCTTTTTCCCCTCATTCCCGCTATCTCTCTTCTCTCTTTTCTCTTCCACCTCCTATCTCTCATCTTCTCTTCAAAGCACTCTCTCTATCTCTCTCTATGCTCTTCAATCACTCTCTTCTCTCTCTCCTCTCTTTCTCTTCAACACTCTCTCTCTCTCTTTTCTCTCTCTCTTCCTCTTCCCCCCCCTCTCTCTCTCTCTCTTTCTCTTCAACTCTCTCTCTTTCTCTTCCCCCCCCTCGCTCTCTCTCTTTCTCTTTCTCTCTCTTGCTCTTCCCTCCCGTTTCTCTCTCCCCCTCTCTCTCTCTTTCTCTTCCCCCCTCTCTCTCTCTTTCTCTTCAACACTTCTCTCTCTCTCTCTCTCTTTTTCTTCCCCCCCCTCTCTCTCTCTCTTTCTCTCAACACTCTCTCTCTCAACACTCTCTCCTCTTTTTCTCTTCCTCCCCCCTCTGTCTCTTCCTCTCTTCAACCCTCTCTCTCTCTTTTTCTATCCTCCTCCCTCTCTCTCTTTTCTCTCTCTTCAACCTCTCTCTCTCTCTCTCTTTCTCTGCAACCACCCCTCCTTTCTTTCTCTTCTCTCCCCCCTCCTCTATCTCTCTCTTTCTCTTCAACCTTCTCACTCTCTTTCTCTCCCCCCCCCTCTCTCTTCTCTCTCTTCTCTCCTCCCCTCTCTCTCTTTCTCTTTACCCCCTC